GCGGTCGCCCCCCGCCCCACCAAGATTTCCGCCACTGGCTTCATACACCAAAATCGACGATGTTTGGTCCTATTAAACATTTTCATAAACACCGCAGTACATAAGCTATACTAAATTTAACGAAACTGAAACTAAATTTATTTATTCTAGATCGCATTGATTTGTTGTAGACTGCAGGGTCTATTGGTCCATTGTAACTACAGGACGAAACATAAACAAGACTCAATTTATTTATACTAGAGCTATAATCCTGGCTAAAATGTTGTGGATAACCCACAGACATTGGCCTCGAAAGATGTTGAATGGGATTTTTATCCAATAAGAAGTGTGGATAATTCAATTATGCAACATTGAAGTGAGGAGGCGGATATGCGAGTAAATTCAAGTTTTACGGGCTGTTTGTTATGATTTTTGCAAAGTGTCCACAGCGTTTTGGCCTGGATTGTAGGTACTTATTTAGATCTTGCATTTGTCGTTTATCCTCCGCTGTTATTCTTATGTACAAAATCCGGCACTTCATCATTGTCACTGATTCCGCGTACGTATAACATCATTTGGTTTTGGAATTTTACCTCCGTTATAGTCAGTGATGAAACTGTCCCTTTCCCACATTAATCGTTTTACCACAGTTGACAGCCAGGGTACATAGGTTTTCGTCACCCTTCTTTCGTCAAGCATCGTGGGTTCGCTATATGTACTCATGTGAAAAGAATCTGTCAAACCTCTGCCGAAAGTCGTGGCTTTTCCTCGGGCGCTCCGGTTTCCTTCGACAGGGAAAGTTGACAGGGTGGGTTTGGAGTTAGGAAAGTGGCTAAGTTAATAAGTACCGTATTTACTCGTTTGAGCGCCGCGGCGCTCTTTAAATTTTCAGAGTTTCGGATGTGGCGCTCATTCGGGGGCGGCGCTCAATCGGGGGCGGCGCTCTTTAAAAATATATTATGACATGAACTTTTAACAATAAAATAAACAAGTTTTAAATAACTTTGTCACTAAATGTGCCCATTTTGACGGCGGAAAGTTTTTACACTGTTTAGTGCGGCGCTCATTCGGTGTCGGCGCTCTTTATTAAAAAAATTTGATCTCAAATGCGGCGAGCGCCCAATCGGGGGCGGCGCTCAATCGAGTAATACGGTATAGATAATATAAGTAAAAGCGTAATACTTGATGTAATAAGGGTATACATGCATGAGTGAATGACGGTGAATGAACTGCATTCATATAGGTTTTACATGATTATTTGTAGCATCAGATACAGTAAATCATTTTACATGTAAACAATCATGGTATTGTAGTGTCTAGCATAATTAGCATAATGAACATTAATTATGGACCACGAGGAAGTAAGCAAGATGGCGATATAGATGCAACTGTAAGATATGTTCTGTTAGAGATTATTAAAGAAAGCGTAGATAACAATGTTATAGACAACATTATAGGTATGTTGAGCAAGCGGAATTCAGAGTATGCATTGTTTCCACGACATCATCAATATTGTCATTGGAATGATGCAGCGTAACGCTTCACCAGCGGAGGAGAAACCACTTTACGTCAAACAAACTAAAATATTGTGTATAGATTTGTATACAAATGGCAGACTTCAATGTTTATTTGCACTTTCGAGAGATGGGTTGTTTTCACGTAAGTGACATTCAGATACGAAACAACGCATTCTGAATAGCATGACATGAAAGCAAAATATTACATTTCTCAAAAGATTAACGTTGAAATGAGCAATTTGCATAGCAAGTTAAGTTGATTTATTGCGGTTTTAACAGGTATGCACGTACAGAAATGAACTATTCTTATGCAAACTAGCTAGTCTGTTAGAACCACGAGTGCCAGTTACGGGCCGTTGCAGTGTTCACTGACTTCGTATCCGTGTTGCATTGCCATTAAATATTGAATCACACCATATAGTCACACCTATCGTATAGTTTCCAATTCGACCATATCGTCGAGTGACTCCATACGATACGACCAAACATAACATAAAAACATATTTATCACGCTTTAATTGTTCACGCATTGTTGGTTTCCTTCGATGTAAAAGAGGACTGTTCTTATTGGTGGTTTGATGTTAATTAAGTATAGGTTATTTTGAGGCAACGAGGGGATATGTGATTTATTCACGTAATGATAAACACATATCCCCGAGGTGCCTCAAAATAACGTACTTATTTTTCACACTGCGAGGTCGCATTAATGATCGAGTAAGAATAGAAATAATTCTTAATGTCATATTGCCTTCGCTATGTTGTTTTTTTCTCATTTTTTTTGTGATGCTAAGACATTGCAGGTGAATATTAGAGGGGATTATTAATTGCAGGTGAATATTAGAAGGGATTATTAAACGGAAATTGATTAGAGGGGAATATTGAATATATTCCCCGATAAGAACAAAGGAAACCGAGCAGGGTGAAAAATAAGTCATATTACCCAAGAATATTACCCAGCGACTTGGAGCCGCCTCGTCCGATTAGGGCACGGCGCATTGCTCAGTTGCAGTACACAAAATATTTCGCGGACAGTTTATTGCCGAGGAAAGATTCACAACCACGATGAATCGGTCGATATTTGTGGTGTTTCTTTTGGTACTTGTTGTAGCTGACTTGAGGTAGGTTGTTTTGTTGTGATTTCGTAATTGCCAATGAATCATTTATTTGTCGAGTCTCGCTTCGGCAATATTTGAGTCGAGTCAATTTTCATTATTTCCGCATTGATCTCTTCTTAGGTCTCTTCTCAATTCTACAAAGCGTGCTCTTGCTGTGTTCTTGAGCAATCTTTAATTAAGCGCAGATGAAACACCAGTATATAGAACTTAATTTTTTCATATTAATCTAAATTAGGTGGGGTTTTAGTTGTTGAATGCCGCATGTATCGTGTCCATATAGATATCTTGATCGTGTCTCGCAGAAGCTAGAAGAAAAGAACTCGTATTTTTTTATAGATCTGCATCGAGACGAATACGCGTGGGTTTTCTGAACAAAGATGCAAAAATCCCGAAGGAGATGAAGCTTCAAAGAGAACCAGAGCCAGTACAACGTACAGAGTAAGTTGAACTGTAAATCCTGACAAAAAAACAGCCTTAAATTTTACACTCTTATAATTGCAGAGACGTATAAGATAAAAGAGGACGGCTGTACTACACCCTCGTTATACTGATGATACAATTACCCTCGTGATACAATTTACGATACCTTTATGCAAAACGGACAGGCTCAAGGCTCCTTCATATTATGGCATGCAGCGGCATAGTTCTTAAGACTTTTTTAAACTTTCAATATTAATAGTTGTAAATCATGTTAGTATTTTAGTATTCGGATTTTATAAAGTTATATGCAAAACCTTTACAATTCAGCTTTTAAGCCTGTAATACTAAGGTTGTAATTTTAATAACTGAACCATCTATCTATTTCATCTCTTTGACACTCATACTTATTCATAATGCCGGTATATTGCAGAACAGGAATGAACACTCAAATTACCTGATTTCTAAAATTAAGTCTACTATAGGCGTATATTTATATTTAAATAAAAAAGGCGTGTATTTCTAGACAATATGCAATAGATCAGCAATCTGCGAACGGGCATATCTGGGTACGAGATAGTAAAATATCCAAACTGGCCATTTTTCCCGGCACGGATCACTGATTAAGTATTGGGGGAAAGGAACATCCATTGTTTCATTCGAAACATGGAGGTAGGATCCGGAGCGGAAGACCAGCAAGGACAGCCGAAAAATGGGGTGGGAGGGTGGGCGCCTTAAACCACGCGTCACAAAATGATATTCCCATCCCCACCCTCACCCCCACCCCTCCATCCCACCATGGCTAACGATCTAATCTCTTTACTCGAACACTTCTTCCCCGTGGCGATCAGCACAAAACAAGCTGTATTACAGAAAATCCTACCTTTTATGTATTTCCCTTCATTAATTATTCAATAAACATACCCCTAATGCATATTTTAACACTTAATTAGTTCCCGTGGAACATTTTGCCAGTTTGAATAGCAGGATCAGTGGAATTGCGCATAGCAGCACGCAGACCACATAGATTTGACACCAGTGCTTTCAGTCACGAAACTGTTCTCTTTCCTGACCTTCAAATCATGCCAACCATAAGACGTCACGTGATAAAACACTCCTACGCGTGTTTTAAGTACTGTTTAATAAATGAGCAGGAGTGTTTTATTAGGTTTAAAGCCACGAGCGCGCAGGGCGAGTGGCTTTAGACCTAATAAAACACGACCTGCGAGTTTATTAAACGGCTTCAAACACGACTACAAATTCAATAGATTTACTGCCTTATTAGTATTCTTTATATAAGAAATACTAATGAGGACACGACTACAATAGATACTGCCTTATTAGTATTCTTTACATAAAGAATACTAATTAGGAGTGTTTTATCAGGTTTAAAGCCACTGCACGTGACATATTATGGTTGACATGATTTGCCAATAAGCTTATGAATTATTAATGAGTGTTTGAAGTACTAGTTAAAATCAATCAATCAATCAATCAATTTATTGAGCACCATTATTTCAAAAAAAAATATTTACATTAAATATTTGGATCCTGATATGGGTGCAAGCTAGCAGCAGTAACCATTAGGTTAAACGAGGCAGCTAGCTTAATAAATAATATATTTCCATTTCCAATTAATCTTAATTAAAGCACAGAAGTATAACTTGAAGGTCAAAAATTGTTCATATATAAATAAGTAATTCACTGTTACTAGTACCTTGCTTATAACTATTCAAAAGAAGAGAAAAAAACAAAAGGAAGAGAAAAAAAGAAAATCTTGTTCAAATATAATTGCATGTAATTATTAATTTGTATTTTTAATTTTCTTTTGTTAGTTTTGACAATCATTCTTTGTATTTTTGCAGTAGGAATTTTTTAACTTCAGCTTTGAATTTTGATGGTTTAAGTTTCTTTATTTCATCATTAATTTCATTCCATACCTTTACGCCCGAAAAGCGTATATTAAATTTCCCATAATTTGTTTTTATCTTTGGAATAGAATAAGTCAATCTTGAAGCAAATCTGGTATTATGATTATGTTTTTCTTTTACAGAAGTAAAAAAAGTATGAAATATTTCTGGCAAGTTTCCATTATAGAAATCATGCATAAATGCTGCATTCCAATAGAAGACAAGATCATGCATCTTCAATATATTTAATTTTATAAATAAAGGATCTGTATGGTCATAAAAATTTGAAAAGGTCATTAATCTAACTATTTTTTCTGCAAAATAAGCAAAGGATCGATAGATGAAGCATATATAGGCCGCAGTGTTTTATCAGATATAAAGATACGAGGCAAAGCCGAGTATCTTCAGGTCTGATAAAACACGCCACTGCGAATGTTTTAAATTGCTTCAAAAACAATCAAAGTTAAAGTTTATTTAAATCAAGGGAAATCTCTATCACATATAAAGATACAACACGCTTATGATTTTTCTTTGTGTTTTCCTCATGAATTATTATGGTTTTTGAAATAGTACCTAAAAGACCGTTTGAATGGACTTTATACTATTACCGGAATCAAACTAAGCTATAATTCACTGACTTTGAAATGCCATTTTTATGTCTATTAATTCCCGTGATAAGAGCTTTATGAAACAAATCATCGCGGTTAACCCGCGGCCTTGGCCAGCTCCATATGAACAGCTCCTCAGAAGGCCCAATAACTAACGTATTCATATATATTCATATATATTTCAGCTTAGAGAAAGAGGCACGTGCAATGTACCGCATGATGATGAACGAAGACAGGATGAGCAACGACCTACACCGTCCAGATAGCTTTGTTGAAGATGACAACTGATGAACTTTAAAACTGACATTGCCCACTCGATATTCCACTCGATACGGATTGTGTAAAATAGTATCTCAGTTATGTGACGTCACTGACGTGTAATTTGTTGTTCTGTTAGATCTGCACTTAGAGTTAAATGTTATATTTATATATTGTAGTTAGTTTCACTGCCGCGACCACATCTGCTATATGCTGTAATTCTGTAAATTTACCATCGCGTTTCAATAAATGCTTTTATTTTATTATACGTATATCATTCACTGTATACATGTTTCGATATTACAACACTACATTACAATTATGTATGCAAAATGTATCAGCTTGGGTCGATCAATTAACTGACTTTATCGACCATCGATTAATCGAATCTTTAGTGACTAATCGTTATACTACGCATTTTATGTTATATGTATAGTACATTATGTAAAACAAATTTTCAAAATTAAGAGTGTCGTTTTCTCGGAAAAGCTATACTTTAATGTGGTTAAGGAGGTTTTGGCGCATTTGAGAGGGCGGTTTTCGGATATATCTCAATTTTTGTGGCGGTTTACAGTGAAGAAGTTATATGTATCGCTCGGCGATGGAGTATCGTTGAACATGGACTATGTTTGACGTCATGACGTGAGCTCCATTTGACGATTGCCTGCCTTCACAAAAATAAAATCTAATGAAACCATGGGTAGTAAATTTCTCATCACAATGATCATATCAAATATGTGCGAGCATGCTATTCTGTATATCATTTTAAAGCTTATGTGATGCTTCATACACCAAAATCGACGATGTTTGGTCCTATTAAACATTTTGATAAACACGGCAGTACATAAGCTATACTAAACTTAACGAAACTGAAACTAAATTTATTTATTCTAGATAGCATTGACTTCGGTTGTAGACTGCAGGGTCTATTGGTCCATTGTAACTACAGGACGAAACATAAACTCAATTTATTTATACTAGAGCTATAATCCTGGCTAAAATGTTGTGGACAACCCACAGACATTGGCCTCGAAAGGCGTTTTTTTCTAAATAATTATCCCTCCCTCCTCCTACTCGCACAAGCCAATGTTGAATGGAATTTTTCATTAAATAACAAGTGTGGATAATTCGGATATGGAACATTGAAGAGGGGGAGTGGGGGATATGCGTGTAGTCAACTGAGTTTTAGCAGCTTGTTATGATTCTTGGAAAGTGGATTAAGTGTCCACATGAGTTTTGGCCCGGATCAGTGTAGGTACTTATTTAGATCTTATATTTGTCGTCTCTCCTCCACTGCTATTCTTACAAAATCCACTTCTTCATTGTCAACATTCCGCCTAATATAATTTGGTTTTGGAATTTTACCTCCCGTTATAGTCGGTGATGAAACTGTCCCTTTTCCACATTAATCGTTTTACCACAGTTGACAGCCGCAGGGTACAGTGGTTGCCCTCACCCTTCTTTCGTCGAGTATCGTGTATGGGTTCGCTATATGGACTCATGTGAAAAGAGTCTGTCAAACCTCTGCCGAAAGTCGTGGCTTTCTTCGGGCGCTCCGGTTTCCTTCAACAGGAAAAGTTGACAGGGTGGTTTTGGAGTTACGAAAGTGGCTAAGTTAATAAGTATATAGATAATTATAAGTAAACGCATAATATTTTATGTATTTTCCCATTGTTTTAATTGTCCTGCATTGGTTAACGAGAATTGGATGCCACTTAAAAATGGCGGATATTCGTCATCGTGAGAAAGGCCAATTTATGTGCTCATTTCAGGCACGTTCAAGACAAAACTATAGTTATTGGACGGGAGTGTAACACAGCTTAACCCATTGAGCCCTATCCCCTTAATGAATAAAATTAATTGTCTGGTGTTTAAGACAGAGTATAATAATGGGTTTAATAACTTGCATGATTTCTTAGACTAAATAAGAAATCTTATCAATATACACATATGGAGCGGTGGGGGTTTAATATATCTTACCCTATACAACAAGGGTTTAACAGGGAAAGCAGATTTTTTATATTAAATCATGAAATGATCATGGATCCCACCTATTCCGGTTACTGGGTTAAATTCCTGGTGCACTGTGCAACTTGCCTTGGGCACAAAAAGTACAAAAAAGCTTTCGAAAAAGGAAGAAATTGACAAAATTTCATGCTCGAATAAATGGTATACCCGTGTGTAAGCCCACCTGCATATGTATAGAGAGGTTTATGAAACATCAAGACAACGATGTTGAGACAAAGGTGAATTATTACTGATGCCATGGATGACGAAGATCGAAACAAAATCGATGATCTATCGATGATATTTATACCGACAGGGATTCGAACACCTTGGACAAATTGCAATAATTAAATTGTACATTACAGTTTATGCAGTATTATTGTGTTAACCAACTTTTTTATTATGTGTTTATATCTACACTGTATTTTACTGTATGTTCATATTTCCTTTCGTTTACGGTGTAGTTTCCGGTCAATTACAATAAATCTTACCATGCCATGTTTGTTGTGGGCCCACCCGTGTTAAGATCATCGAATGGGGGAGGTCGACATGGTTTGTTTTTTTCGAGAACAAAAAGTCCCAAAATTTCCCGAATTTTACCGCAAAATTTCCTTCCAAAAATTTCCTTCCAAAATTTTTATCAAAATTGACAGATTTACCTGGTAACTAACCAGACAAAAAGCATAATAATTGGGGCTACCTTGCCGTGGGAGCAAAATAAAAGAGATTCTATAACTGTTTTTTGCATCTCTCCCCTGAATACACACAAGAAAGCCGTAGGGTTTTTCCTAAGCGGAGTCTGAGAAATAATACTCTGCCGGGTACGAGGTTGGTTTGATATTTCAATATAGGGATTCTGGGATCCTGTCCCGGATGCTCCAGGGCTGCATTTAGGGCATTTGTTGCACAAAATTGTGTGAAAATTGCTTCTGTGAAAATCTTTGAAATTATGAGATAAAATAGAATTGCCTACTCATTCCCCTATTTCCTCCCAATTTCCTTTCGAATGCTATTTCCTTCCAAATTTCCTTCCAAAGGCCCACATTTCCTTATGGAGGGAATTTTCCTTCCAAGTGGAAACGCTGTGTTGAACAGCAGCCTAATGAAAGCCTGCTCTATAGCCCGAATGCTTTGCAGAAAAGTAAGGCTATAGTCTTAACCTTTCGTCCATTTTTAGCCGCCTTTTCCAATTTTCAAAAAGCCATAGAAATTGGAAAAAAAAGGAAGTCTATAACTTAAACTTTTCAACCATTTCAGCCAATTTTTTCAATTTTTGAATGAGGCAAAAATGCCCATTTCTAGCCGATTTTTCAATTTTTGAAAAAGAGACAAAAAAATGGCAAAATGTAAGGCTACAACAGCCTTAACTTTTCGTCCAATTTGAGCCACTTTTTCTATTTTTGAAAGACTCAAATATTGGAAAAAACAGTAAGGCTATATATAGCCTTAACTTTTCGTCATTTTAATTAAGCCACTTTTTCATTTTTGAAAAAGGGGCGAAAATCGGCAAAAAAGGAAGGCTATAGCAATAATCGGCAAAAATTCGCAAAAATTCGTCCATTTTTAGCAAGTTTTTCGAATTTCGAAAAAGGGGCGAAAATTGGCAAAAAAGGTAAGGCTACAGCCTTAACCTTTCGTTCATTTTTAGTGATTGTTTCGATTTTTGAAAAAGGGGCGAAAATTGGCAAAAAAAGTAAGGCTATAACCTTAACTTTTGGTCCATTTTTAGCTACTTTTCCATTTTTCATAAATGAGCAAAAAACAGCAAGAAAGTAAGGCTATAATAGCCTTTACGTTTCGTCCATTTTTAGCGACGTTTGCCTTTTTTCATAATTGGGAAAAAGAAGCAAAAAAGTAAACGGTATATATAGTCTTTCCAAATCCCCAAGAAATAAAGGCTAACAGTTTAAATTTTGGATTATTTTATATTTCTGAAAAATAGGGAAAATATCTACAAAAAGGTACTAAGGAGATAAACGCTTGATAATTCGTTTTTGACACTTAAATTTTTCAAAAAGTGACAAAAGTTAAGTATCAAAAACTTTACTTTTTCATCATTTTTTCGTGCCAAAAAGTAAAGGCTCAAGCCTTTAATTTTTGGCGACTTAATTTTTTAAAAGTAAATTTGGCGATGAGAGATTATGTAGAAATTAGTATAGTTACTAACCAATGGTAGATCTTGTAGTCGAGTGGTAGTTTGCTATTGTTGCATTAGGGAGAACTATATTAAAACCATTTTAAAGTCAGGCAGGCAGCGTTTTTAAATAATTTCACTCGAGACAAAATGAGTTAAGTAGAATAAAAAAGGTGTTAAAGTAAGTATAGGCACTGAGACGGTCTAGCGGTAAGGTCAAAGTGTTGCACGTGCGTGAAGCCAGGTTCGATTCCTGGTTGTATCAAAAGCATTTTAATGTAAGGTTTCGTTGTTAATTAATTCCACCCGAGACGAGAATGAGTCAGTTAAGTAGAATAAAAAAGGAGTTAAAGCAAGTGTAGGCGAGACGGTCTAGTGGTAACGGTAAAGTGTTGCAAGTGCGTGAAGCCAGGTTCGATTCCAGGTTGTATCAAAAGCATTTTAATGTAAGGTTTCGTTGCTAATTAATTCCACCCGAGACGAGAAAGAGTTAAGTACAATAAAAAAGAGTTAAAGAATGTGTAGGCCAGACGGTCTAGTGGTAAACACAAAGTGTTGTGAAGTGCATGAAGCCAGGTTCGATTCCTGGTCGTATCAAAAGCATTTTAATGTAAGGTGTCGTTGTTAATTAATTCCACCCGAGACGAGAATGAGTTAAATAGAATAAAAAAGGTGTTAAAGCAAGTGTAGGCGAGATGGTCTAGTGGTAACGTTAAAGTGTTGCAAGTGTGTGAAGCCACGTTCGATTCCTACTTGTATCAAAAGCATTTTAATGTCAGGCGTCGTTGTTAATTAATTACACCGGAAACGAGAAAGAATTAACTAAAATAAAAAAGCAGATAAAGCAAGTGTAGGCGAGGTGGTCTAGTGGTAAGGACAAAGTGTTGCA